AATAAAAAAAATGTTCAATATTTAGACCATTTGACAAATTCAAATCAAAATTACCCTGCCACACTGTTATCATAGCTTCTTTCAAAAACAAAAAATTATGTTGTTATATTGAGCTGTACGGGACTCAAGTCAACAACTTCTGACACTGGCAGTCAAGTGGAAGACTAAATACTATTATGGGCTACTGGACTCTTTTAGAATATTTTGCTGAGTTCACACACCTGTAATATTCAAATGACAGAACTAAACAAAAAAGGGGATACAGAGGAATGTCCATTTTGTATCTATGTATTTAAAATGGTTAGAATAGATATATAGTTACATTCTCTTAATGAATAGAGGGATTTGTTCTAATGGTGTTTGTAAATAGGATATCATGTCCGCATCTTGCACAGCAATTAACCACTAGGAAGAATGTATGCAATGTGTTAATTATTGAAACTGCCCTACCAACTTGATTTGAAACTGTCTCATTGCTATTTATTTCTCAATAAAATTATGGAAAAAAATAAATAAAATAATAAAATAAAATAAATAGTTCATAAAAAATCAGTAGATGATAGGTGTATGAGGATGTGGCTATACTGGATTACTTTTTTTTTTTTTTTTTCTGTACCAGGGATCAAACTCAGGACCTTGCACTTGCACAGCAGGTGCTTATGCCGCTGAGTTATTTCCCTGGGCCTATACTGAAAACTATTAGTTTTTAATGAGAGCATGAAATGCTGGCCCTACTACACAACACCATATCACAGTTCTCCAGAACATTAAACGTTGAATTATAATGTGATCCAGAAATCTCACTTGACCTATAGCCAAAAGAATTGAAAACAGGGACTCCAAGTGACATTTGCACATCTGTGTTCCTAGCAGCATTGTTTAAAAGACAAGAGGTTGATGCAACCTGTGTCCACCAAAGGAAGAACAGATAAGGTAAATATACATAAATATAATAGAATATTATTTAGTCTTTAAAAGAAGAGAGGGACCAGCTTCCACACTTGTAATCCCAGAGCTCTAGGAGACTGCAGCATGGGAATCACAAATTTGAGACCAGTTTGAGTAATTCAGACCCTGTCTCAAGAAAAAAACAAACAAACCAAAAAAAAGAGACATACACCCAAAAAGTAAAAAGTGCTGGGGTTGTACCTTGGTGAGAAGGACTTTGATTTGATCTCCAGTACCAAAAAATAAAAATAAAAAGAAATGGAGGGACACTGTAGCACATGCTATTATATGTATGAATTTTGAGACAATCATGCTAAGTAAAATGAACCAATCACAAAGGACAACACTGTAATTCCATCTATGTGAAGTAGAGACAGTAGTCAAAATCAGTAACAAGGAAGAGCCTGGTTCTTGTTAAGGGCTAGAGAAGAGGGGAGGCGAAGTTGTTTAACATGTACATGGTTTCAGTTTCGCAAGATGAAGAGGTCAGAAGATTGCACAACAATGTGTTTGTACTTGACACTACTGACTTGTACACTTCAAACAGTTAAGATAGGAAACTGAATGCTATGTGATTTGACCACAATTAAGAATGTTTTGTGAAAGGGACCTGGACCAAGAAATGTGGGTTATAGAGGGGAGGGAAGGGAATTAGAAAAAGAATTAAGAGGTGTTATGTACACTACCAACTCCCCACAAGGACTGTAATTGATACGTGCTGTGTACATGGTCAATAAATAGTTAAAGACACAAACAGCATATTCAAGAGAAATGCCATGCAATGCAAGTCTAGGGCTAAAAGCTCATGAAGCCCTAATGCTGTGGAGGAACTAGCTGAAGGCAAGTATCTCTGACAGGAACTAAGTTTCAGTCAGACAAGTTTGGAGTTGTGATGCTGCGCTTCTGGCCCCTGGTTTCTGTGTTGAGGCTCTTCTAGTTTCTGAAGGACCAACGGGAGCCTGGTTCTGAGCTCAAATCTAAGTTTGAGGAGAAATCTAAGTTTCAGAATGAATTTAATAGAATGAAAGAATAAAGTAAATTTCTGTGTGTACTACAGTTCTTTAAGATTCCAGATTCAACAGTTCCCTGTGCTCTGACCCCTGCCTATGGGTTCTTCCCACACTCAAGGATATAGCTGAATGTTATAGGTTTGGGTTCTTTGATGATACTGTTGGAAGAGGTGGAAGAGAGGCAGAACCTAAAGAAATAGTCCAGTCATACAGTTACTTTTATAAAGTAAATATATATTGTTTTCTAGAATCTTAAAGTTTATTCAAGTTCATTTCACTATTTTATAAGGAAATATTTCTTATTTACTCAGAATATACCATTTATTTTAAACCTTTGCACAGGCCCATAATTTTTCCCATTTTGCTCATATGTTTATAGCACTAAATTCTGAGATGAGTTTCTTCAGAAGGAATATTTCTTGACATAAAGGAGTAAAAATATATTATTGAGGCTACATTTTGTGGAATTTGGAATCTAACTCTTGATATTAGATAACTGAGGCTGTGTTCTCATCCCATTGTAGTCTGTAGATCTGAAATATGTAGGCAGCATTCTTTGAGTTTCAACTCTGCCCCACTGTGATGTTGGGTAAGATCTTAACCACTTTGTAATTTACTTCCCCATCTGTAAAATAAGAGTAGTAATAATAACACTTGACTTAAAGAGTTGCAAAAGTGAAAAAAGTATATAGTAAGATGAAGGAATAATCCTATGTATTGAATACTCTTTCCTGTAATTTCTGCTGACAGTATTTTTATGCTTACATTTTCAGATGAATTTTTATCCTTAATTATATTGGTATAGTTTAGATATACATAACAATCATATTCATATATGGAATTTGAACCTGTCCATGATATATCTTGATTTGTATTTTGCCCCCATTCCCCTTCCTTCCCTTCCACCCTTCTTCTTATTTACAAAATTTCATTTCTATTTTATTTTTCTTTTCTCATTGTTTTCTTCTCAGATGTCAACTTGAGAAGTCTGGAAGCTAAACTAAGTAACTCATCAACTTTATATCCTGAAGTGAAAAGGACTGTCCTTACCCCTCTCGGGTGCTGTCCATCGAGTCAACTGGAGAAGCTTAGAAGTTGAACTAAGTGACTCAGCAGGGGGCCACAGTCCCCACTTTCTAAACATCCTGAGCCTGTGCAAGAGGAGGGCATGGAGATGACGTGAATGCTACACCTGCCCAGGGGATGGTAGCCCCTTACAGTACACAGCAGGAAAAAGAGGCTTGCTTCTCCCCCTTTTGCTCTTGTTGCTTTGCTGTCGGCTGATGTCTTGGTCCATGTGGCCCCCGAGCCACACCACCGTGCCGTGGAGCCAGCTGAGTATGGACTGAAGCCTCCAGGTGTCAGGTATGTTATCTCAGCAAGGAGGGAAAGGTAGCCAAGACCCCTTTGTTCTTTACCCCCTCCTCCCTTGTACCTCTTCCCATTTGAACTTATTTTTCCTATTTCACAATGTCTATTATGTATTTTAGTTCTTATTTACAATTTTAGTTTCTCACAACAGAGAGAAAAAGATATTTACATGTGTCCAAATTATTGATAGCCTATTTCATTTAGTTGGTACATAATAAATGTACACCTTTATAAGTGTCCATGAATTTGTACTTCATGGAATGATCAAATCAAGGTATTTAGTTTATCTTTTTTTCTCTCGTTTTTTCATTTCTTTGTAATAAAAATGTTTAAAATTTCCTCTTCTGGTTATGTTTAATTATACTGTATAATAGTCTTTTAAGTATCAAGTGAGGGGCCAGGGAGATGGCTCAGTAGAATAAGCCTTGCCTGGCAAGAGCAAAGGCCTGATTTCAATCCCAGTTCCACAAAAAAAAAAAAGAAAAAAGAAAGAAAGAAAGAAAGAAAGAAAAAGAATAAGTATCAAGTAAAACCTGTTACTGTCTTAACTTGACATAAAATATTTTGATAAATTTAATAATGCTCAGTCACAAAGCACTTATTTAACTTTTATTCTTTCTTTAAAAGTTGTAAATTTTTCTACATTTTGTTTGTAAAATTTTCTATATTTTGTTTGTGCAAATATCTAGTTACTTTGAACTAGTGATTTTTTTCCTACTTATTTTTATTAGTAATAGTAGAGAGTGTTTTTTTTTACTACCTATCCTAGTATAACAGAAGCAACATTTTAACTAAATTTTTTAAAAAGATGTATACATTCTCTTAGAAAAGTAATAAAGAGCATAGTTTGCATGTAGTAATATCACTAGGAGTTTCCAAGAAAGATTACTAAAGAAAATTAAGGCAAGACTTCACGAAAAACATTGTCTACCTCATTCTTCCACTTGCATACTGATCAAGAAAAGAGATCAAGAGTACTAGGAAAGTTGAGTTCAGCTGATAAGACCTGTTTGACCTGGGTGCCTCAGGCCCTTCCTTTTTTCTGATAGTTTAGCTAAGAGGCTCTTGTGGATTGAGGAGCAATGCAGAGAGACGGAAAGGCTGATCCTTGTGCCCTGCGAAGCTGTTCATACAATCTTCCTACACAGACCTCTGGCACAAGCATGAAATCGCTCGGTGTAGTTCTGGAACCACAGTTACCTGCATAGATTTCTTAGATTACTTAGAGAAACCAGGTCCTAGCTTCCTCCAAGGCTCACAGGAGTGAGGGAATGATTTTTATCATCTCATTGTCTCTGGGGACCCTCTGTGTCCATGGTTCTGTCCAGGATAAAGGATCCCTTCTCTCAGACCTTGGTTGTGGTATAGACACAACATAAGCCACTGCTATGGATTAGTGTCTTGAGAACTACATTTTCCTCATGATTTTTTTTGCTTGAAAATAAATCCATTGCTATATTTTCTTCACCAAATGGTGCTAATGATTTGTGTACCCTTGCTTGGTGGTAATAAGATTACTGAAAGATCATTTTGAAAGCTATTTTGTATAGTTGGTAGGTAGGTAGAAATGAGGAAAAGAAAGACATATTAGGAAGTAAGATGCTTCCTCTTGCAACATTTGCATGCTCCGTACTATGTAAGTATTTGGCCTATTTGCAGACTCATAAGATAGAGTACAGTAGGTTGTAAAAGGGAGTTTAAAATTACAGACCCTGTTACAGGCAATAGTTAGCTCTCTTCTCTTTTAAAAACGGGCTAACAAACAAACCTAAAAACACTTGCTGAGCTTTCTTTGCATATTCACCAATGTCTGAAGAAGTTACTTATGCACATCTAAAATTCTCAGCATCCAGAAAGACAGAACATATCCAGGAGCCTGACACATCTGGGACAAAAGGTAAGTTTTGAGCCATACATGTATGGGTAACTTTGTAATTGTATCAAATTGATATCATTCTATTTAAATTTTTAATCAAGCCTCTTATTTTTAGTAAAAATTCAGCATTCATGTAGAATGATACAAGGGTTGTTTTTTAAACACTGACTAGATCATTGGACATTCTCAATCTTTCAAGTATTTTCTGCTTTTAAGTTTTACACTCTAAAGACATGAGGCATGATCATATTTGCAAACCACTGGATTGTGAAGTCTTTTTTCCTGCATGAAAAGAAGCCATAGGACAAGAAACATAAGTTGTATAAGACAGATATTGTTGTGATTGTTTTTTTTCAAAATAAAATGCTGATGTGTGTGTGTGTGTGTGTGTGTGTGAGAGAGAGAGAGAGAGAGAGAGAGAGAGAGAGAGAGAGAGAGAGAGAGAGAGAGAGAGAACATCAACTTTGGTCCCTGGCTCCCAGTTCTTCAGGCTCCTTCCCTCTTTTTAAGAAGGTCATGGGCAGACTACTCATTTTAGCCCAGTTTTCATATTTCTACCCTTCTATTTCTTCATTTTTCTGTAGGATTCAAAATGTGAACAGTGTATCTTGAAAAAATTTTCTTTACTTCTTCTCCTGGACATATCCTTTTGGTTTTTTGTTATCCCTGTGGCTACTTTGTTGGTGGTAGGGGTTGTTTGTTTGTCAGTTTGATTTGGAGTTTTGCTTTGTTTTTGTTGTTACTCTTCCTTATACATCAAACACTATTTGACTGAACCCTCAGGGCTGTGTTCTGGTTCTCCTTTTCTTGTTTCAGTCAATATTTTCCTATAAGTGATCCTGTACTCTCATTTAACTCCAAATACAACAACATGCAAATGCCTCCTTATGACCTATCTCCTTCTGAAATTCAAAGCCCTTTCCCCTTTCATGTGGAACTTTCACTTCATTCTTTGACATCCTCAAAAATCATTTTCACAATGGCCACATCTCTTTAGCCACTCTGAATTTGTTGCTCCTGAAATAAGCCTTTCCACCAAATTACAGACTTCAAACCAAATCTTCTTGCCTATAATGCCTTTTCCACTTATTTTGCATGCTGCTTTCCACCGAACTATTTACTTTCTGTATCTCAGTTTCAGGCTTCTGCAACCCATAGTCCAAATTGCAATGAGCCTATCACTTTGCTTCCTCACTATAAAATGTAGCCCACAAGAACAGTCTTGCATGTCTTGCTACTCTTGCATTATTTGTATCTACAATACTGTCTAGTGTATAGGAAGTACTCACTGCATAACTTTAAGTGATAGAACATATACAAAAATGAAAAAATATCATGTATAAATACATACACTTGTATTTGTAATTCTAACCATAAGCCAATATGCACTTGAATTCATAATTCTAACCTTACATAAGATCTTAGTTCTTTCAACTTATCTATTTTTTTTCTTTTGTTGCTTATACTTTTGGTGTCATATCTAAGAATCTACTGTCAAACTGAAGGTCATGAAGATTTATCTTTGTCTTTTCTTTTTTTGGAAGAACTGGGAATTGAACTCAGGCCTTCGCGCTTGTCAGGGAAGCGCTTATTCCACTGAGCCATCTCTGGCCCCTCTTAGTTCTTTCACTAATAGTTTTTTTTTAAGATCTAAACAAATGTTCTCATTTCAATTCTTTCTGGGTTTTACAATATTGTCCTGCCAACTGAGAGGTGTAAAACATTTCAGAAGTATAGTAAGATTACCATGTTGTCCTTGAATTATAGTTTCTTGAAATAGCTCGTTTTCACATGATGGTCATTTAAGTCATGTGATAATTTGATAATAATTCATAATATACATTTCATAATTTTATAGGAAAATGTGTTCTAGGCCTTATTGTTCAGTTTTTTTTTTTTTTTTTTGCAGAACCAGGGATCGAACTCAGGCCCTTGCGCTTGCCAGGGAAGCTCTTATTGTACTGAGCCCTCTACCCAGCCCATTATTGTCCAGTTTTAAAAACAAGCATTTAATAAAATTTTTTGCTAAAATCATAAAACTGCAAATTTTTTTTGGCCAGCTCAGCCTGTCCTGAGGGTGGGGCTGGCACTGCATGTGGTTCTGGGAATCGAACCATGGTTCCCTACAGGTGCCTTAGCTTGCCTAAACAGGCATTTTAGACAGTTAAGCTATCTCACTGGCCCCTAAAAATGCAAACTTTTTAATGAGGATTTGTGACAGATGATGAGGTGTGCCAATGAGGTGTTCACAAGTCATTAGGGAAGGACAGCCAAGCTCATAGCACTATATGGGGAAAACACAAACCCTGAAGCTGTTTTCTTTCACAACCAAAACCTTCCACTCAGGGAAATGATACTCCAATGAACATCTCTATTTGCTGCCAGCTGCTCACTTTCCTCAACTTTGAGCAGCAAGTTTCACTATTCTGGTTGTATTTTCTTCTCTGTCTTTTATACACTTATCTCTGCCTCTTCGCTTCTGCAGTCACTCCACCAGTTAACATCTTGGCTTAGGAGTACCATTTCATGAGCAAAACTAACCATTTCTCACCTGTTCTTGGTTTAATGCACTCAAATATTTTTTAAATGTCTTTGGATTTCTAGACAACCAGGTTCATTTAGAAGTTAATATTAGGAAATAAAGACAGAACAGGTGAGTGAAACTAAACTGTGTTCCATTTCTAATGCTCTTTGCTGATTTTGCCTTCCACAGCATGTCCTGCTTGTTCCTATGTGTGGCGTCCAACAGCCTTAATGCTGACTGTCGTATGCCTTCTGCTGCTTATTGGACTAGCAGTAGTAGGAAGCATATGTAAGTATTACCCGTCTTTGATTGAAAGTGTCTAGAATTTTGTGGATTTTATATCCAAAGTTCATTCTTTGTATTGGAGCTTTGTAAAAATAGGGAGTATATTATAAAGCATTATGTAAACTTAGTTTCTTTCTCTACTTCTGTATCATGGCTTTTCCCCTAACTATTAGTATTTTAAACACTACTAGTTTTGTAAATATTTTTAATTCAATTGATGGTTTATAATTTCTCCTATCTCTCTCTCTGTATGTGTATGTGTATGTGTATGTGTATGTGTATGTGTATGTGTATGTGTGTGTCTGCAGTTTATACCACTTTGAAGACAGAAAAAGAAAAATTGAATGCATTGCAAAATGTCAAAGAAGAACTTCAGAGAAACCTTTCTCTCCAACTGATAGCTAACATAAATAAGTCTGAAAATATAAGAAATCTCTCTATTACTCTGCAAAATTTTGCCACCAAATTATGTCGGGAGCTGAATAAAAAAGAACCAGGTAATCCTAAATTACTTTCAGAGCTATTTACTGGAAAATAAAAATTAAACTGTCATTTGCCGGCGACTTTTTAATATAGGATCACCAGAGTATGAATGACAGGGAAGAAATTACATGTGGGGCGTGCAGTACTCACATATTTCCATATAGTTAGAGGAAACAAAAGTAGCAATTACTTCAAGTTACCAGATTATCAGGGGATGAAAATAGAGCACAGTTTCTGTAATCTGAAATTTACTACTGTTCTAGGCACTGGGATAGATTGATGACAGGAAGGTAGGGCACCTCCTATCAATGATCTCATTTATAAATTTCAGCCAATGATTGAGGACTAAAAGGCCATAGGAAAGAAATAAACTGTCAGTTTCACATTTGGAATTGAGGAAAACTGGTCTCACAATAGCTTCATATATTTCAGCAGGTTTTGTGATGAAAGCATGTTTCTAAAGATCATGAAAAGCTGCACTAGTATTCAAATGGGAGAAGGCAGGATTGATGTAGATACATAGGACTGATTCTTACTGTACAGAATGCTTCCTGTAATTAGTTTTTCTTACCAGACATAAGTTCAAGAATGAAAAAGGGAGATTTACTAGGTGTCTTGATATAGGGATGTACATTTTTTTAAAAATGTATTTTGTTGTCACAGGTCTCACTACGCAGCTTGGACTTGTGGTGATCCTCCTTGTGCCACCACACCTGGACTCTGGCCATCTCAGCCTTCCCTGGGGGTGGGGCTGGCATGGCATGTGGTGCCTGGGATCGAACCATGGTCCCTGTGCTGGCCTAAGTTTGCCTAAGCAGGCACTTTAGTCTGCTCAGCTATTTTGCAGGCCCCAGAATGTACATTTTAATCCAAGTATTTACTTTAGATTTAAATTTTTTGTTCAAGTTATGCATCACACACTTTGAGATGATACATAAGGATCTTGAGGACAGGATTCAATTTACCTCTCACTTATGAAAGAAAAAACCAGTAAACTTGTAACAGTGTCATAGAGAGGGTTAAGGAAATAATAACAATGATGAAGCCTATCATAAAACCAAATAAACCTATGTTCTTTTTGCAGGGCACAAATGTAAACCTTGTCCAAACAGTTGGATATGGTACAAGAATAACTGTTATTTCTTCTCTGAAATAAGTAAAACATGGCAAGAGAGTGAGAGGTCATGTTCTGCACAGAACGCCAGCTTGTTGCAGACTGACGACAACATTATATTGGTAAGCCTCAGCTGTCTCTCCTTGTGAGGAAAGAAATCTTTTGCTCCCATTATGGAGTAGACAGGAGGAGAACATGTTGGGGAGAACCCAGAGTCCTGATTTTGTCTTGTTTTAGTTAGGAGAGAGATGAATGAGACTCTTCATACTTGTATCAGGGAACCACAGCCAAGAGAAACTCTATAAAATTCTACTTTACGACCTTAGCCCAGGAGTCTTTTGAAGCTCATGGGTTAAAAAAAAGGAAAAAAGGTTACCAGAACCCTCAGGACTGTGAACTTTTTAAGTTGGAATTCTAGACTCAATCCTAGAACATGATTTGTGAATATTTTCTATAAACATAGAATTTAGAGATATTCCTGAAGATTATCAACTCCATTAGGACTACAGAGGGAGGAGCCTGCCCCTTAGCTCAGTTGTCTAAGTGGCTGCTTCAACAAAGCAGTCAGCCTCAGGTTGCTGCTGTGGTTTGATCCCCACAACTCTAGCCAGCCAAAAATGCCCTGAAGACATTCTCAGCCAGCCCCCCCCCCAAAAAAAAAGAGACTACAGAGGGAGATGTTTTCATTTTGCAAATTTGGAACAAATATGTTGCACTGTGTTTTGATAGCTTTCTTTTTTTAAAATTTTGATTTCTCTTCTTTCTCTTTCTTGTCAAGTAGAAGTAACTTCTCTGTATTTGAAATACTACTTAATATTTCCGGTCTTTGTTGTAGTAATTATATTTTTATATTTTATGCAAAATTATATTTCATAGATTCACAGCTTCCCTACTGTAAGAAATATTTCATCCTATATCGAAGAGGGAAAAAGCAATCTACAATCTCTTTCTCCTAGATCATTTTCAGATGATCCCATCATAATATTCAAAAGTGAATTCATTTTAAACCCAGAATAAGAGCAAAATACTTTTTATTTTGCTCTGGTTTTAAACTAGTCCTGAATTCTACTCTATAACCAAATTGCCTTGCTTCTGTTTCCTTTAACTCTTGTTTATAGTCATTAACTGCCTCCTGTGACTCTGGACTAAATTTTTACAAGTCAAATACTTGAATCCAAAAGCTGCTAAACTTTTCATGATGGATCAACTAATGGGTCCTTTATGATACAGGAAGCGATACTATAAAACTGGTGAAATCTTTAGTTAGAAATGCTTTCAATTCTTCTATTTTTAAATTTTTTTTAGCTGTAAAGCAAATTGTTTATCATCATATATAATGTGTTACATTAAATTTGCACAAATATATATATATATATATATATCCTGCTTATATCATACAGTAATTTAACAATAGGAATAGCAAAACAAATACTACTTATGCACAAAACACGCATATACTGATATATAAAGAACCATTTTACACAATACTGTTCACCAAAAAAAGTGTAAGCCCTTCCAGCTAAGGTCAGTGGCCCAATCTGGACTGGATTGCACTACCGTTCAGACCAAAGCTTAGGTTGTAAGTGCTTGGCAAGCAATTCTGGGCTTACAATCATGCCCAAAAGTTAATGGATGTAGAGGGAATTTCTCTCTACCAGAGTACCAACATTTAGCATTGCAAAGTAGTAGTTTAATGCCAAAAATGTTATCTGCAGTAATTTGTAACAAATTGAAATGAAAGTAGTCACAAAAGTACAAGACAGTTTTGAAAGAAATCAGTTCTATTTACTACAGGAATTTGTAGATAAGAGATCAAGAGTTTACTGGATGGGATTATCTCCAAAACAAGATCACAAAAACTCAGAGGAAGTGGATGAGAACATTATCTCCTCTGCCAGGTGAGTCTTGATTCTTACTGAATATTTATAGCTGGGTTCAGAGAGAGATGTTTTCCTCAGGCACAGTGCAGATTACAATATTGCATTCTTTCCAATCCTTTTGGGCACTAGCCTTTCTGATCCAGGAAGTTGTTCAAATATCATTACTTTGATAATCACTAATGTGCCTTTAATAGTCAGTAGAATTAGGAAGTCTTTCTATAAATAATGCTAGTATGTAAGAAAATTACAGAAGCCATTAAAATTTACTGGACCATAATAAATATATGATATTGATATGGGGGAATGGAACTCCCAACCTGAAAGATAACTGGGCTGAGTATGTGTTCTCTAAAACCAAAGAATGAATTTTAGGAACAATAGAGGTTAAGAGCAGAATATATTTATTGGGGGAAAGAAGGCTCTTGTCCAAGAGTGGGACAGAAGGAGGACCCGAGCAGGTTGCCCCACAATCTGTCTTTTCCAGAGTAAAACCACATTATGAGGCAGGTGAAAGGTGAAGAACATGGGAACTCACTAGGTGTGCACAAGGTGGGACAAAATTGTGGTCAACCAATAAGATTACAAGCACAACTGCTCAGGTAACATTGGATCCAGGACCAAATGGGAAATAGGTCATGTAGCAAGTGGGTGTAGCAAGCCGGCATGAATACAGAACAGGGGCTTTTGCTGTAGGGGGCTGGGTTAGTGACTTCCAGGAGTCCGTAAGGTGAGAGACTCATCTAGAATGTCAATCTTGGGTGCCTGTCTTCAGGGAGGTATGTGGCTGCACTTGTTTTCTCTTTTGTCTTGAAGTCCAGCCCAAAGTAGGGGTTGATCTCTCAAGTTGCAAAGTCATCTTGTCTTTCATACCGTCTCCTTGAGGGCCTAGCCCTGCCTGACTACCTATAATATTTTTTAAATCTAACTCAGCTGCCTGCAACGATATGGGCTAATTTCTAGGATTTGAAGAAAAATGAGAATCATCCTTAGATTTACTTAAGTATAAATAGTATGTGCAGACTGATTTAATTATTGAAGGGATAAAAGGAAGCTAGTGTGATAAAAGTTTAAGATAGATTATACAGAATAAACAGAATTTGGTTTGCATTGAAACTTTTTAAAATCATTTATATGTAAAATAAAAAAAGGCTGAAATGTTAATAGATGAATGAGAAGAGCCTTTCAATATTAAGAATATATGCTCCACACATAGCTGACACTGACAAAGGTTCTACCATCTGAGGTACAGGATTTCAGGATAAATCCTGAGGGGATTTCACTGAACTTATCACACCCAAAAGCTACAACTCTTGTTGCACAGGTCCTGCTTTTCCTTGGTCTTAACCATCCAGCAGAAAAGTATAAAAACGAAATATAAGAAGTAAAGCCATGATGAGCTGTAGGGGACTCAGGTCAACAATTTCTGACATTGCCAGTCAAGCGGAAGACCCAATATTATTACGGGCTACTGGACTCTTTTAGAATATTTTGCTGAGTTAATACACCTATAATATTCAAGTAACGGAACTTAACAAAAAAAGGATATACAGATGAATGTCCATTTTGTATCTGTGTATTCAAAGTTGTTGGGATAGAGATATAGTTACATTCTCTTAATGAATAGAGTGATTTGTTCTAGTGGTGTTTGTAAGTAGGATATCATGTCCACATCTTGTACAGCAACTAACCACTAGGAAGAATGTATGCAATGTGTTAATTATTGAAACTGTCCTACCAATTTGGTTGAAACTGTCTCATTGCTATTTGTTTATCAATAAAATTATGGGAAGAAAAAGAATATATGCTCCAGTGTAGCATATTGTTTACATGGTATACATAAATATATTAAAGAATGTGTTGTATAGTATACTTAGGAATGTGTCTAGAAGTATCCAATTTAAGTGAATTTATACATGGTATTTATTCTGCTTGTAAAAAGAAAAGCCAGGGATTTAGATGTACAAAGTGTCCAAATTCCTTTTTTATTTTATAATCCCTAAAATTTGGAAAGCAGATAGTATTAAAGAAAGATCTTAAAATTTCTACCCAGTGAACACTCAATGTATATCATATATTGGTCAGTCTGTAGTGAACAGAGCGCAGGGCGACACTGTAGCGACAACAGCACACTGAAAGGAAGTACTGAGATATACACCCCTCCAGGCCATACAGCAAATACGAACTTTTTTTGTCTATTTTCTATCTTTCAGACAGAAATAATAGTTGTAAGAGTGTAGGTCATGAGGACAAGTGGCTCTCTATTTGGTCAATGGCTATGAAAAGACAGAAGGAAGTTGAGATGTGTACACATGAGAAGGATATAGATCTTCAAGTTTTCACTTAGGTGAAGGTAAAAATAATGTGTGTGCTAAGAGAGTGTGTAGGTGGAATTTTATTTTGAAAAGGCAGAAAATACATGGGTTTGCAATTATGGAACATGGAAAAACAATTTATTATGGAATAGGGTGATGTTGCATTTACCGTTAATAAGTTAATCTCTGGTTTTGATGATTATGAAAAACACTTGAGGAAATAAATTGGCTGCTGAGCTAGGTAGGGCAGAGAATTTTATGAAATAACATTATTTTAAATCATACTAGATATCAAGTTAGGTTTTATGTTTGGAATCAAATGGCAGCAAATATTCCAGATGTGGAAAAGTAGGATAGACAGGATGGGAGTGGGGATGGAGAGGTGTTTCGCATGATTTATATATTAATTTAAATGATCAACTTTGATGCGCTTGATACTCTGAGCACAAATTCAATTTTACCTTTTTTTCCCCCTGTAAATGTGTTTTAATTGTCCAAATTGACACGTATAAATTTTTCTCTTTCAGGCATACAATAAACATAAATGAGATGCAATGTAGGTATGTGTACAAAAAAACGATTTATTTCACTGACTGCACTACGTACAACAGATTTGTGTGTGAGAAGAAGGCCAATCTAGTGGAGGTTGAAAGCATGGTACTGAGTGAAGATGCAGATGAATGTATATAATTTATTGTTTTGCTTCAGATTTTATCCTGCAATGGAAGAAACACAGAAGTTCAGAATCATGAAAGGCATTCAAATTCCGGATTAAATTTCTACCTCTTTCCTAAATTTCATGTCTTTTTATGTCCTTATATATCAAACAGAATAAAAATAGTATTTCTTAGTGAACACAGGAATCTGAAGTTTTTCTCACTGATCTGTAGTAATAAACCAAGTAAATTTCAATTTCATGAAAAAAAAAAAAAAAAAAAAAAAAGAAAATTAGATTTGACCCAGGCATGGTGGCATGTGAGTGAGAATGCCGGGGCCCACCGGATCCTGATTTGATCCAGATCCAGGCCCAGAGTGTGAATGAGACCACGTGGGACCCGCTGGATCTTCATTTGACCCAGAGTACAAGCCCAGTGTGGAACCCTGCAACAGAACTTCCTGCAAAGAGGCTAGAGGCAAAGCCCATCCAGCTGATTCAGGAACAGAACACCTTGCCAGAGTGGCACAGAGGGTTCAACTCCAAGGGCTGCCACAGGAAGAGGAGGAACACAGCAGCCAGACCCAAGCTACACCCACCCGGAGGAGTCTGAACTTCATAGATCCAGAACTAGTGCTAAGGTAATAACTCTATCTAAGCTGTACACCAAAGGTCAGAAGACAGTGATATACAAAATGACTAAGAGAAGAAGAAAATGCATTCTCAGGCTCCAAGCCCACCCAGAACAAATGCAGAAAACACTAGCATAGAAAAAATTGGAAATCACACACTTAAAATCTCTGAAATAATAGCATCTGAAATAAAGAAACAACTACAGAAAGCAATAGAGGAAATCAGATCAGAAATAATTTCTGAAGTAAAAAAAGAAATGATAACTATAATGAAAGAGGTACTAAGTGCTCCTAGAGAAGATACTGATAAAAAAGAGCAGAAAATAAAAATGATGGGATCCTTGAATAAGCAATATAGGAAAGATATAGAATACACGAAGCAGATTCAAAGTGCTACATAGGAAAACACAACCTCAATCACAAGCTTGCAAAACCATTTGAATGAAAGTGAGAATAGACTTTCAGACCTTAAAGACACCACTGCAGCTAGTGAAAAAGTAAGAAGAGATCTCTTAAAAACAACTAGGATGCAGGAAAAAATAATTCAACACCTGCAAGATGATGCAAAGATGAACAATGTGAGACTAATAGGCATCAATGAGAAAAAAGGAGTCAATACAAATGATATAAAAAGAATATGGGCAGAAGTAATAGCAGAAAACTTCCAAATATGGGGAAACAATCTGACATTCAGAGAACCGAAGCATGTAGAACTCCAAATAGCATCAACCCAATGAAACCACTCCCAGACATATAATAATCAAGATTCCAGAAATTCAGCACAGGAACATTGTACTAAAAGCCTCCAAAGCAAAGAAACAGGTCACATTTAAGGGAAAACCCATCAGAATAACAGCAGATTTCTCTTCACAAAACACCAAGGCAAGAAGAGCATGGAGCAAAGTACCACAAGTATTGCAAGAAAACAAATTCCAACCCAGACTGACACACACTGCAAAACTCTCTTTCAAGTATAATGGAGAAGTGAAATACTTCCATGGCAAAGAACAACTTAAAGAGTTTCATGATAACAAAGCCAAGCCTATATAGACTACTAAAAGATGTTCTAGAGAGGGAGTAAAATAACTACAACTCCATGAATGAGAATGGAAAGAACCCATCAAATAGGGCAAACAAATGCAGGAGAATAAGAGGTATACAAAAGCAGTCTTTCAGTTATTCTTCTATATACAGCAGCAAAATATTCCCATAAACATACTCCACAAGTGGACTTCTCCTGCACCCTAGCAAGCATGAGTCTATCTGGGTCTACAGGGTGGATATCAAGGAAATAGTAGCTCAGTCCCACAAGTGACACCTGGCCACCAATAAGTGTCATGGACACTATCCATGTCTATAATGTAGTAGAACTTTGTGTGATACCCTGTCCCCAAACTGTTAGAAGTGCTGGTCATTTAGTTGCCATTCCAGTATTTATCTTGTTTTATTTTTAGTAATCCTTTACTATCATGAAAACTTTTTCTTAGTTCAATTGTTTTGAAACATTTAATTTTTAATTAGTTAATATTTAATTTTCTGAATATTGTTTAATTTTTGTTTTAAGATTTGTACTGTATCTTTGACTTACAATCTACTTAAAAGACACGGTATGATATTTTCTAGTATTAGTAACTTTAAAAAGTATATTTCCATTTTCCATTGACTTTATATTACTTCTTCCTTGTCTTTTACACACACACACACACACACACACACACACACACACACACAGACATATGCATGAAAAAATGTGTAAAACCTGACATAAGATTGATACTGTTTTGTATAAATCTTTAATGACCTTTTAAATGGGTTCATCTAATATATTTTACATAGTCCTGCATAACTATTATTTTGAGAGGTCTTTATTCTTTATCAAAGATCATACAGCAACTTCTCTTGCCTTCTGAATAATGTTCTTTATTATTTCCTATATGCTACATTTGGAGGTATTAGAATATTTTGAGTTTGTATAACTGGAAAACATTCTAGTTTTCATAGGTATGTTTGCTAAGTATAAAATTCAAAGAGGACAGATCTTTTTATTTTCTTTCAGTCTTTTAGTTAGTCTAGTTTCTTATACACTTGGTCTATTTTTTTTCTTTTTCTTATTTTTTCCATAATTTTATTGAGAAACAAATAGCAATGAGACAGTTTCAAATGAAATTGGGAGGACAGTTTCAATAATTAACACATTGCATACTGTCTTCCTAGTGGTTAATTTTTGTACAAGATGCAGCCATGATATCCTATTTACAAATACTATTAGAACAAATCCCTCTACTCATTGAATTAAGAGATTGTAGCTATATAAGAACTGCTGTTGAGAAGCTGTTAGGGAAGCAGTTTGGAGAAGCTGTTGGACCTGTTGGAAGCTGCTGGTTCTCTTGGGCTGGTCTTTTTTTTTTTTCCTAATGTGGAATAAGATGGTATTTAATTTTTTTCTTCCATAGCTAATTTTTTTATGTATGTGCTTTAATGATTTTTTCTTTACAATAAGTTTTGGACAATTTCATTTTTGTGTATTTCTGTGTGATTTTATTCAAATTTCTTGTGTAAAAGGTTCATTTTTCTTGGAAGTGTGGTGTTATAAGTTCAACTAAATTCAGAAATTTTAAATCTTTAAATATTTATTTCCTACCCTTTTCTACTTTGAGAATTCTAATTATATGAATGTAAGTTTCTTAATTTTGACACAGAGAGAACTATTATGACTGTTCTATAAATTCTTTCTTCTTCATTATTATTTTGGATGATTTTTATTGTTATATTCATTTGATTTTGTAAATTATTTACAATGCGCAATCAATTATTAATCTCATGTATTCATTTCAGAAATATTTCTCCAAAATTCACTGTCTACATCTTATATCTTTCACATTTCAATATTTGCCTATAATTTTTAATATAGGTAATTATTGATTTTCAATAAAGTTAATAAAAAACTTAAAAAAGAAAATTAAATTCAAAAATACAATTAAAGAATAATACAACTAACATAGATTTATTCTAATAATATAGGTTGATTAGCATTTTGAAAGATGAATAAAAAGTATCTTTTCAACAGATACAGGAAAGGTATTTGATGATATCTTTTATGGTCTAGATCTAAAATGTTCTTCAAAATCTCATGGATTCTGAGATGGGCCTTTTGAAAGGTGGAGGCGGGGCTGTAGATTTATCCACAGCTGTAGATTTGTCATCAGTAGATTTATCCATCATTGAGTGCATGTCTGAATGTGCTGTTAAAAGTTGGGGCCAGGCTGGGGAGATAACTTGGTGGTCTAAGTGCCTGCCTGGCAAGCGCAAGGACCCAGGTTCAATCCCCAGTGCCACATGCCATGCCAGCCACTGAAATGGCATGGTGGCACATGCCTATAACCCCTGCACTGAGAGGCTGAGACAGGAGGATCACTATGAATCCAAGCTGCATAGGAAGACCATATACCAAATAAATAAATAAAAGATTAGAAAGAAAGTCGGGCCTGTACCACTCTGGAAGCTGATAAGATCTTCCTGGAGAGGAACATCATCATTATTCCAGATCTCTACTTGAATGCCACAGGAATGACAGTATCTTACTCTGCATGGCTAACGAATCTAAATCATGTCAGCTGTGGCCCATTGACCTTCAAATATGAGATGTATTCTAATTGCCCCTTGCTCAGGTCTGTTCCAGAAAGCTTAGGAAGCATGGTGGAGCAATTCATATCATCCCAACAGCAGAATTCTGGGACAGGATATTGAGGGCGTCAGAGAAAAATGTGCACATTGTCACACTAGCTTGGCTTATACGATGAAGCATTCTTCCAGGCAAGCCACGCGCACCGCCAGCCAAAAACTGTAAGCTGAGCTTGGACCTGAGGAGGGCTGCCTCTGTCAGTGCCATTAAGAAAGTCTTCAAAGTGTACAGCGCAGCTGGTATGACCGTCACATAGAAGCTGGTGGCCAACTGCCTGGCCCACCGCCTCCACCTGGGCCTTCTGTGGCCCTCCCAGTTTACATGTTATCACAGAGATCTTTCCTGTGACTCAGTAGAGAGACTATTCTTGATCAGTCAGCCAAATCAGCTCTTTAAAGAGGAAGACAGACAAGCCCAAGGGACCATGCACACGCTGTGCCAGGCAGCCTCTCAGACATCTTGTCTTGAACTACAAAGTCCCTACTCCCAGGCTGTGGCCATGGCTGATACAGAAGCCACCCAAGCTAGACCTTTGATACACATAAGAAGTAAGTGCATGGCATTTTCAGAAGGTGGCATGGTCCTCAAGTGAGTTGCTGGTATCTTACATCAGCAAAATAACTCAACTTCACAAGTTGCAAAATAAATAAATAAATAAAACTTGTTCCTCTTGTGTATTTTATTCTTTTAGAATAAAATAAGTACATGCTACTATAGTAAAATTGCCTTTAATCACTTAATAAGCCTAACTTTGACTTAAGCATAAATACCTATGAACACAATAAATGAAGAAAGCTAGTCTTTTTATAACATAAAACAACATCATTTGTAGCTTATCAGTCATGTATTGTCCACCAGGAATTACACAGCTCAGTGGACAGCCGACTTCTTACCTCAAACCATGGAGGCTATTTTTTGATAACCATCAGAATGTGCTAAATATTATTAGGAGACATAGTCCAAAGAATACAATGACCTCCTTATTACAGTAATTAATCATTCTTCCCTTTTGAAGAGCTAATGTGTTGACTAATGGAACCACAATTGAAGCAGTGTCCCAGGAAAAACCACAGGGTCTCCCTGTTTGGAGCCTGTCTGGCTTTGAGCACCTTGGGCCCTGGCCCAGCCCAGCCTCAATTTCTGTGTCCT